CTAAGGGGTATCGTTTTCTGTGGTAATGGAGGCGGAGCTTTTTCCGCGGAAGATTCCTTCAAATGCCCTGCGGTGCGCACACTATGAGACCTTCACCAACACTTTGCTCCATTTCAGAGCTGAGGCATGGGACGAAGTCCACTTGGCGACAATGAATCGCTGTCAGCGGAATCTTCGGCTGGAGCAGATCAAACGAGTTTGGAGACATCAGAAGAACCGTGTCCGGCATATTCTCAACCTAGAAAAGTGAGTAGGCTCTACGAGAAGCAGAATTTGTGTATAACAACGGAGCGATCTCTTTAGACTAGCGTCTGATGCTGAAGTCACTCTTGAGGATGTGATAGCTGCCCGAAAAGGCTTCATGACCGACTACGAAATCGCTATAGCCCGTGCCTACCTGGACGTGCCCACCACGAAGTCACTCGCCAGGAAATCGTCGCCTGGATGAGCTCGATCTAACCTTCAGAAAGAGAGCAGCAACGTCTCCAAGTATTCGCATAGATGATTCAGTGGCCAGTGTAAGTAAGCTGTGTCATGTTATCGAGTACATTACATGCAGGTGTCTGGACTGCAAAACCTTCATACCCATAAAATTTAGGTGCTGGACCGTATTGCTGCCGAATGCGCTGTTGAAGCTAATTCTCAAGGTCAAAGCGAACAGCAGTTCAGTAGTCCGATGTCAACTGTGAAGGAGGAACCAACGCAATCTATGGTATTAAATTTGAGATTTTTGTCCAGTTATGAAACATCGAAATCCTCTGTTGATAAGTAATTTGGGCATACATTCTCATTCCTTATAAGTACTGGTTAAGATGTGCTTAACGGCAAACTCTCTCCCTGTAAGGCCGATGTCAGACTTTGCGAATCGCGCGATTCGCTAGCGTCTGCGGTCGCGTCGCGGCCAGTGAATCACTCAATTGGCTGGTACCGCAACGCGACCGCGGACGCTAGCGAATCGCGCGAATCGCTAGTAGCGAATCGCGCGATTCGCAAAGTCTGACATCGGCGTAACTGTGCCCGCGTGGTGTCTCAGTACCTTTTGGAGCTCACAACTTGTTGAAAGTGTCTTGAGATAAGCTTGTAACTCGACTCATTATTGAGGACTACTGTTGTCTGCAGTGAGCCCAATGGGTGGGCCCCGCTTGACCTGCAGCTTGAGGCCATTTCATTTACGTCTAGACTGCTTCATGTCATGATCTAGAGCAAACTTAGAACCAAGTTTTACTTCATATCAAGTTCTTCGCGTTTTCTTCGATTGTTAGTGGCTAACTAAGTCGATTTAGTTCGTTGATTTCCCAATTATTGTTTCCATTTCAGGATCAGTCACTGCAAGAATGTAACAATCTCCTGGAAATTCAGCGCGTTTCTTGAACGCCATGGGTCCAGCTTCTTCCATGCAGGAGAAGTCAACGTCAAAGCAGGAACACGTACGTCAAAATATTCACTTAATTAGCTCATTCTACACGAAAAATGTCGTGAAAAGAAGCGGAAGCAAAAAATTTTTTGCGTTATGTGTGAATGAGTTTGCCTAATGCAATGGCTTGAAGGAGTGGTTGCGATGATGACGCGCCGATCGTCAATTGGTCGAACGCTATCTAAGGCCGATGTCAGACTTTGCGAATCGCGCGATTCGCCTAGCGTCCGCGGTCGCGTTGCGGTACCAGCCAATTGAGTGATTCACTGGCCGCGACGCGACCGCAGACGCTAGCGAATCGCGCGATTCGCAAAGTCTGACATCGGCCTTACCGCGGTGGCCCAAGTTAATGATCTCCTCCCCGCACTGGGGGTCTAAATAGTTCACCATGCATTCAGTGGAGTCATTAGAACACGTCATTGCCTTCCAGCACGGTGATCACGGTTCAATTCGAAGGAAAAGGAAAAAAATGAGCACTCATTTTTCGGAGCAACACCACTGGGTCAAATTTGTTGATCACAGTGATCGATAATGGGGTTGTGGATACCGAATTTATCGAAAATGGAAAAAAAAAAAACAAAGAAGAGCGTCGATGAAGCGCAAAACAAGGCATTCCCTCTGAAATATCGGACATGGGCGGGTCCAGACGAGTTATACGAATCTGACTGCTCCACGGCTCAATTAACCCGCGCTTATTTGAATCAGCCTCTTTGCAGTAGTCCACGTTGCGTGTCATGGGGTGTGCTCGACACAACTCGTCCATACGTCAAGAGTAGTCGCCATAAATTTACTTTGTACGACCCTAGCCCATTGTTGCGCATTTTGCGAGGGACGTAACGGCAATCTGTGGCTACGGTGTGGCGCCTAAGCTGTCACCCACTTGATAGATTTTTGACACGACTTTCTGCCTTCGAGGTGCGCCTTTAAATGTATGGTCCTTATTTTGATTAAAAATATAAGTTATAATACATTTCTAAAATGCGACAAAAGTCGTCCAGGGACTGTTGGATTTTCAGATCGACAGCGACGAGTCATCATGTGCTTCTGAACAAGTGAGGCCTTTAAAACGGAAAAGGTGCAGTCGCCGCCGGTCGTCCTTACTTGATGAGCAGTACGAGATGATAAAGGTGAACATTTCATCTCATGATCGATCATCCTACGTAAAATGAACTTTGGTGCTTCAATTCCACTTTTTAACAATTTTTAAAACGTTTATGACACTTCTTCGCAGTCTCCATTTTTCGACCGTTGTCGTTCAGGCTCAGCGAATAGCGTTTGAGGAACAAGCTCAGATGTATCGATCGATGAGGTCTTTTATCGAGGAGTCAACGCGAACAGTGCGAGATCTCGGTGCACGGGTCCGAGACGTGCAAACGTCTGCCATTGACTCGTCCCCGAGTGAGAGCAATTTGGAGTTTTGCCCCAGTGGTCAAGTGCTTTAATGTGTGGAATCCACAGGAAATCTTCCAAGCAAATCTTCCATCCATACCAAGTGTGGGGTCTCATCCAGTAAGGGAGGGGCATGTGGTGCGACAGTTCTTGCCGGCTACAGAAATTCCAATTTTTGCAAGGGGAGGGAATCCCCGGGTGCGTGAACCATTTCGCTTGAACTTTACACCCACCCCGGAGCTTCCCTCCCCTGAAAAAAGTGGATTACTTCATGCAATATGAACTGTCGCACCACATGCCCCCCCTTACTGGATGAGACTCCCAACTGTGTTTATATGGTGAATTTTTCAGTCGAGTTGTTAGATGTTTTAGTTATCAGACTTATGCGGGTTTTCTGCGTTGTGACCGATGTTCTCAGTTATTTTTACGATCATTACTGTACTTTTCGCGTGGTGTCCATAATTTAATTTCGTTTTTTTTGCAACCAGTCTGAGATTTTGAGGAGCATTCAACCGTATTTCTTGAGAAATGAATAAATTTTTCATTTCGATGATGAGTTTCCCTATTTACAGCTAATTGCTTTTTTTTCCTTTCCTAGGCCTTCCGCATTGGCGACCAGGTAATGAAATCTAAACTCTGAACCTTTTCTTGGAAAATCCTCATCATCAAGCAGTCAATGAATGCTAGACCAAGGGTGGCAAGCCATAGGCCGATGTCAGACTTTGCGAATCGCGCGATTCGCTAGCGTCTGCGGTCGCGTCGCGGCCAGTGAATCACTCAATTGGCTGGTACCGCAACGCGACCGCGGACGCTAGCGAATCGCTAGCGAATCGCGCGATTCGCAAAGTCTGACATCGGCCTAGGCGCCACGGACGTGGGCTCGTGGGTATGGCAGCCCATATGGGCTGCCAGCTAACACGCTTGTCGATCGTATTATTTTCTGAATCTTCGATATCGACAGAGTAGCCAGGGACTATACGCCACAATAACGCCACAATAACGACATGATTCGCCAGAGGGCTACGTATGCTTTATTTTAGTAAGTTTCTGAGCCGTATGAGATTTTGGATAGTCGTAATATTTACCAGTGAAAAAGAAATTATAGTGGTAGATAAACTTAGAAGATTTCATGCATAAATGACTAGAACAATGACAGAAGAAGGCACTGAAACTGGAAGATAACAATATGGAAAAAAAGCTGTTCGAAAAAAGAATATCTGAAAATGTTGTACATAGTGGAAAGAATGAGTAAGTAGAAAACAGTGTGATATATTGAAGACCCGACAAAAAGAAGTACCTTCTGGTTCCGAGAGTCAGATGCGCGTCGAGTGCAGACCACACACCACAAGTGACGACGGTCTCCAAGTGAATTTGGTAAGTAATGATTCATGGGTGAAAGTTGGTAAATAAGTTATAATTAGAGGTACTGATATGAAAAAACAAATGTAACCGGTCATCATCCATTGGAGAAGACATTTACATTCCGTGGAGGCCGTCGTCACTTGTGGCGTGTGGTCTGCACTCGACGCGCATCTGCTTTTCGGAAGCAGAGCATAATAAATCTCAATGCAGTAAATGATGGGCAGTTTTTTTCAGGATGCAAAAACAATTATTCTAAAAAATTCGGCCTATTTCAATTTTTGCCTAATCGATTTCAAATAATTCAGTCCATATCCGGACAGACACGTACACAATAAGAACCCATATCAAAGCAGTGCTTTCGAGAAAGATCAATGCACTGTAAATACAGTGAAGAGCAACTTCGTTGAGGATGAAGTTGGTGCGCTGCACAAGCGTCCATACGGTCCCTCCCAGCACTGGCTCTGGGCAGTCGGAAGGAGGACGACCCCTGCTCCTCACGCTACTTCTTCTGACTCCGGTACACAATACAACATTTTCTGTATGCAGTGCGTGAACCAGACTGGAATGCCCATATCTAGAGTAGAACGTATAGATGAAAAAATACCGGTTTTGGAAAAGATTTCCCGGACTGCAGCATGGTGATTTAGTGATATCAAGTCTATACGTAAAAACCATGTTTTGGCAGAGCGTGTAGTAGCAAGGGTAACCGGATAGGAAGCCCGTCGCGCGGCGAGAAGGCAGAGACGCAGACGCGTTAGCGGACGAGTCGCAGCGCCAGTACATTCTATTTGCCCTGACGTGAAAACACTGTAGTGCGTGCTACGACTCGTCCGCTGGCCCCTCTGCGTCTCTTCCTTTTCGCCGCGTGACGGGCTTCCTGCCAGGTAGCATACGATCTCTGCCCAAGGCATGATTTGTACGTATAGGCTTCGATATCTAAAGAGAACAAATAAGCCTTCGAAGAAACTCACCCCATGGGACGTAGATGCACGAGTTACTGGGCCTTCTTCGTACAAATAAGAAAGTAGACTGGTATGCCTGACAGAATCATCGCCACGCCCACTATCAGCTCGGTCGGTTGTGAGAGAAACGGTAACACGAGGAAGAGACAGCAGAAGAAGAGAAATATCAGTGGAATGCAGATGTTTAGCTGAAAAGTAACAGGCTTTTCAATAAGTTCGGTCGTTATTCGTACTTATATGCTTGTATGTTGGGTAATTATACGATATTAATTCGAGATAATGTATTATAAAGGATAAAGGATAAAGCATTTGCCGTTGATCAATCCCTTTTTGGGATGCGGCACGCATTCTACTTCCATTTGTACATTCGCAGTGGCATTTGAATGCGATGTGGCCTATACAATGACTTGCGGGGCCAGCCGATGTTCAAGTCAGTGTTTTTATCCTCCCAGACAAGTCTGGTACCAATTAACCGACCCCGGAGGGATGGAAGGCTTGGTTGGCCCGGGCGACTCACGACCCAGGATTTGATCCCGGACCGCTCGCGTGGTAAGCGCGCCACTTGCCACTACACCACTTCCGCCCAATAATTATATGCATTAAAATAAATGTGGCATGGATGCACAGATATTAGGTGATAATATAGAATTATTTTTCATACTGACATAGTAGTAATTTGTAGATCTGGTGGATGGTCGGAAGTCTGGAACGTCTACCCAAAAAGGCACTCAAGAATAGCGTTGATTTAGAGAAGACGCTGGTATAAGCGATCTGCATAGTGGAAGTTGCTAATAAAGATTAAAGCGAGGGACTGATAACGTCTGTGCGTGCATGCATCAGTGGAAGCCTGCCAGAGACCGAAGAAGGCGGGATGTGGCCTGCTTCGCGGGCCAATGTGCGCCAGTTTGAAGCAATCTGGGGGCTGTCTAGGCCGTCTGGTCGGGTCCGTCTCGCCTGTGCTCGCACCACTTGGGAGGTATTTACTTCAACGGCGTATTATCTCACATTTTTGTGAAAGCCACCGTAGCTTGGCTAGAAAGCGTGGCGATCAACTAAGCCCACAAAGTGGGCGGTTCCTAGCAGGGTGAATAACGGTCGAGGAATTCCTCGACCAGGGGTCGTATTTGCTCCACTGAGATGCGAAGGGGGGTCGTAGGACCATTCATCGCCGAATAATGGTGCTGCTCTCCACTCATTCGCTGTCATCCTCAATCTTGGTTTTAGTTAGCATAATGCGAATGCGA